AGAGGGGGAAGGGGCGACTGCGGAGGCAGGAGCTGCGGGACGGCGGCGGCGGCAAAGCAGTTTGAAGGTTAGGCCGGGGGGGAAAGCCGAAAGGGCAGAGCTACTTGCAGGGACCGCGCCTGTCAAGCTGGATCGCAGCGGCAGCAAGGAGTTTCCCGTACCGGAAGTGCCTGGCCACTTCCGGCTCCTCTTTAGATCCCGCCCCCCACGGCCGGAGGATCCCGCAGTTACCTCCCCGGAAACGGAAGTCGGGGAAGGAGGAGTCGCGAAGGTTTGCAGATTGCCGCGCCCCGTGGAGCCCGCTGGGGCTCTTGGTGGACTGTGGGCTTTTGTTTTGGAGAGCGTGTCCCGAGGGTGCTGGCGAGTTTCCACGCTGCTGGAATGCCCTGGAGACTGCTCTGGTCTCAGCTGGAGGCCTTGGGCCCTAGCACCTAGAAAAAAACATCAATTCCTTAAAAAACGAAGTACTGTTTTTGTTATGTAAGTCTTGAACGGTAACAGGATAGTTGAGTCACGGTGAAGAAACGTTCTTTCTTGTGTGGAGAGCTGCCTAAAAGCTGGACGCCTGTGCTTCTCCGCGTCCATGAAGCATGAAGTCAACTCACTTGTACCTAAAGACATACCCAAAGAATCTGGCTTAATGTGCATTAGAAATGTCTCTACCAGGTGTAATGCAAAATCACAGAACTATTTGTAGGAAAACAGCTTCACAGCACCTGCTGGTAAATGGTATTGCATTTTCATTTCCAGTGTTTTTGAGGCTGTAGGATGTATGGGTAACACCTGACTTAAAAGTCTAGGTTTATTCATTGCCTAGCATTAAGTTAAATTTATTTTGTGTGAAAATTTCTATTTGTGCTGCTTAAAAGAGAACTTACAGTGCCTGACCTTTGCATTTAAAACAAAAGGGCAAAATCTAATTTTTTAAGTTTGTGTTTTATTTTTTATCCTGGAAAGTAGGGACACTTTGTGCTCCATGAAAACCATATTGCCTTGGTATGAGTTATTGAATAGTTGTTAGGACAGCCTCTGAGTCAATAGACCTAGGACCCTCCTTTTTATTTAAGAAAAAAAAGATTTTCTGCTATAGGGTGTGTGCACTCACTGAAAAGACAGAGAGAGACAGGGAGACAGAAAGGAGAAATCACCCCCAGGGAGATGGCCATGCTGCCGTCCCTTCTCTGCCATCTCCACTTGGGATTTTGGGCATGCCCGTGCATATGCTCCCAGCCGGGGAGTCCAGGACTGGAACTGCGGTTGACCACACGGGAGTTCAGCAACATAACCATATGTCATTTGCTGGTCCTGCCAATTGTATTTTAATACAGTAATACTAGACGTTTTCTAATTTCAAAAATACATATTTTCATGTAGAAGAATGCCCTTACATTGTCTAAGTAATTAACCCAGAACGTAAAGTTTTCGGGGTTGCAAATAAGAAGTTCTTGCTGATGTATACTTTATTTCCAGCTTCAGTATCTTTCTATTTAAAAGAAGATGTCCTTGAATTATGTCCGTGGCCTTCTCCATATTTTAATCCTTTTAAATTATCCTTTACCCTACTTTTGCAAAGCACATATCCTTCAAAAGAGGATGTGTACCGCTTTGTAATGACGTTTTCTCCATCATTACAATTTGAACAGTTATAACTTCTGAAGTTCTTTAGTAACTTTTCTGTAACTTGCTTATGATAACTAATGTCATTCTTGTATTTATAAGAGAAATATTCCTGGGTTGTAAATTCATGAAAACTGAGGACCTCCCTGATTTATAGTATCTAGCATGGTACTTTGAATATTAGTGAATATCACTAATATTTCAAGGAATGAAATTTGACTTAATCCGGATTTAAGAATTCACCATTTAAAAAAAATTGTTTTTTTTTTTTTGTTTTGTTTTTTTGCCATAGAGCACATGTGCTCCCTGGAGAGAGACAGAAGAATAGTGAGAAATCACACCCTCCCAGGGGTGATGACCACACTGCAATCTCTTCTCCTCCATTCTCCTTTTGGAATTTTGGGCACACACGCACATGTACCCAGTGTGTTTTTCAAGCTACCAGGTCCAGGACTCAAACCTCAGAGTTGGCCATGTGGAATCCAGCACCTTCACTGCCATGCCACCTGTTGGCCCAAGAATTCACACTATTTTTTATCAAGTAAGAAACCAGGGAAAGTAGTACGAGTGGTCCAAATAAATATCTATTATGTTCATGGTGATTACAATGTATAGAATTCCTTTCTTTTCTTTTTCTTTTTTTTTGGTAGAGATTTTCACTATAGGGTACGTGCTTTCACCAGGAAGACAGAGAGAGACAGACAGAAAGCGAGAAATCACCCCCCGGGGGTGGGGGGGGATGGTCACACCACAATCCCTTCTCCATCCTCCTCTCGGGATCTTGGGCATGCACTCACACATGCCTGGCGTGAGTTTAAGCCACCTGGTCCAGGACTCGAACAGTGGTCACCTATGTGGGAGTCCAGCGACTTAGCCATTACGCCAACTGCTGGCCCCTAGAATTCCTTCAGTTTCTGAAAGCATAAAAGAATCTATGTTCATAGAGCTCATAGTGGTAGTTTGCCACGTTTGATTTCTTCCCACTAATTATAAAAATTATTTTAGTGGTATAGTGTATGTAATACTATATTGTTTGTTTTCTTTCCATTAATACACAAATAATTATTGATTTGATTGTGTATAAATACTGAGAAAAAGTTATATTTTTGAAATGTGCTTTGAGGGCTAGCAGGTGGTGTGGTGGTTAAGGTGCTGAACTCCTATATGACTGACCGCAGTTCAAGTTCTGGGCCAGGAGGCTTGCTTTCTCACTTTCTCTCTCTCTCTCTGTTGTGTCTCTCAATGTCGAGTGTGCATGCCTTATGAAACATTTTAAAAATAA